GAGAGTTTAATCAAGAGAGATTAGATTCTAGATTGAGATTTGGAGAGCTTGTTCTTCAATTCTAGAGTGAGATTGTGAGGGAGAGATTGTAACCTTTTGTTCTTCATAATCTAGAGAAGGTATTTTCCTTCGCCAAACTGAATTGTTCTTGTGTTTTGGTCGTCCTCTTCTCAACCCACCTTTTGGTAATTCCGCGACCAAAGGGTGCTCGCACGGCAACTCGTATCATTTCATGCGTTACAAACATAGTCCATTATAACTACAATATTTTTCAAATGACAATGTAATTGCGAGTTCATTCCATTTGCATTATTATTATTATTTATGATGTACTCAATGTCTTTATATTAGTTTTATAAAAAAAATGTCTTCCTCTTAGGAATTATAAATGTCATTTCTTTTGATTGTAGGAGCATAATGTCCGTGAGAGATTTTAGTGGAAAAGGTCGAGCACCTATGCTTCAATTCACAGATATTGCCGATATTATGAAAGATGGCACTCACACCAGCATTTGACACCACCTAGGGTATTTGCTATTGCTAGCATTATTACGAATACTGGATCTTAGATTTGTTTTTTTTCATATGTATATTTACTGTTTGATTCATAGGTAGAAATTCTGATTAACGTGGAATTGTGGATCGAATGAGTGGACATCAAATGAACTAATTCTAACTGATGATGACGGAAGAAACAATAGGTGGAGATGAATCACAGATTATATGTCGAATAAAGCTTTAGATTATAAATCTAACTAAAGTGGGGCTAATGTGAAATTTACCCGATAGCCACCACATAAAATATTTGAAAGGTATACACTTTAATGTTTTAGGTCAGTTTTGTAGACTTCAAAATCTATAGATTGTATGCCAAATAAAGCTTAAGATTATCAATCTAATTAATTAATTGTATAATCATTGATCTGTGAGTGACTCTTAAATTCCATGGGGTTCATCTCAAATTAAATGGGCAAAATGAATGGGGCTTATGTGAAATTTACCCTTCAATGTGTATGTTGGATAGGTATTTTAGTTGTTATACATAATTATCAATCTATAAAAAAGGCTGACATTTAGATCAAGTAGAACCTAGATCATAGAAGATTGATATATTAATCATGTTGTTAATCTAAATCTATACTACTATAAAAAGAGGATTGGGGTGTTAAAACTTTTAATTTGTTTGAAAATCTTACATAGGCCAAAGGCCTATGATGTATATTTATAGATAGTCAATGTGAATAGGTTGAGTACCCAAGAGTCACCCCCACTTAATGGGGTGTTACACCATCATAATGGGGTGTGAATGGAGGGATAATGAGGGGGAGGCCAAAGGCCTCCCTCATCTCATAATACTCCCCCTTATCCATCCATTACCTTGGGTTTAGCTTATGAACACTTCAGAGTTCGTAAAGCTAATGGGGTGGATACTTCTGGATCCAGAGTAAACTTGTTTGCCTCGTTAAAACCTTAGCTGTAGAAAACCCAGTGGGAAAAAACCATCAGCCTAAGGAAAAAGAGTACAACCCATAGGTTACTCCCCCTGAACCATACAAGCTTCAGGCTTGTAGGTCTTTCAGATGTCTCATCCCTATTCCTTTTACAAGTTTTACAAAAGTACATCTAGGCAGAGCCTTAGTGAACAAGTCAGCTAAATTATTATATGATTGGATCTGCTGTACTTTAACTTTCTCCTCCTCTTGAAGATCGTGTGTCCAGAAAAACTTGGGAGATATGTGCTTCGTCTTGTCACCCTTGATGAAGCCAGACTAAAGTTGAGCAACGCAGGCTGCATTGTCTTCAAATATAGTAGTTGGCTCAAGGTCACCAGTCTTCAGGCCGGTAGACACTAAGATGTGCTGAATGACAGAACGAAGCCAAACACATTCTTTGCTGGTTTCATGGATCGCGAGGAGTTCGGAATGGTTGGATGAGATTGCTACAGTGGTTTGCTTGACAGACCTCCAGGAGATGGCCGTACGACCGAATGTAAACACAAATCCGGTTTGTGATTTCTCGGTGTGGGGATCAGACCTGTATCCTGCATCTGAATAACCAATTAAGGTGGGAGACCCACCCTTTGGGAAATATAACCCCAGGTCTATAGACCCTTGGAGGTAGCGCAGAAGATGCTTAACTCCATTACAGTGGCGCTTTGTGGGCCCCAGGTCTATAGACCCTTGGAGGTAGCGCAGAAGATGCTTAACTCCATTACAGTGGCGCTTTGTGGGCGCTGCACTGTATCTGGCTAGTAGGTTAACTGAAAACGCTATATCGGGACGCAGTAGGTTAACTGAAAACGCTATATCGGGACGCGTACAGTTAGCCAGATATAATAGTGCTCCAATGGCATTGAGGTAAGATACTTCAGGACCTAGCATTTCCTCCCCCTCTTCCAGCGGACGGAAGGGGTCGTTCTTTACATCCAATGATCGAACAACTATTGGTGTACTAAGAGGATGACATTTATCCATTCGGAATTTTTTAAGTAATTTCCGTGTATATGTGGATTGGTGTAACAGGATACCACCCTTAAGGTGTTCGATCTGTAAGCCAAGACAATACTTTGTTTTGCCTAGGTCTTTCATTTCAAAAGTATTCTTAAGGCTTTCAGATATCCCAGCGATCTCTGCAGGAGATCCAATGAGATTTAAGTCGTCGACATAGACGGCGACTATAATGAATCCTGTTCCCGATCTTTTTATAAAGATACACGGGCAGACTTTATCATTTGTGAATCCTTGCGTAGCAAGGAACTCACTTAGTCTGTTATACCACATTTTCCCTGATTGCTTAAGACCATATAATGATCTTTGAAGCCTAACAGAATAGACGTCCCGAGGTCTATCTGCTATCTCTGGTGGAATTTTATATCCTTCAGGGAGTTTCATATAGATATCTTTATCTATATTGCCATATAGATATGCAGTCACAACGTCCATGAGCTGCATTTCTAGGCCTTCTAGAGATGAGAGGCTTATTAGGAATTGGAAGGTATTCCCATCCATAACCAGAGAATATGTTTTTTCATAGTCTATTCCCGGTCTTTGGGAAAAACCTTGTGCTACAAGCCGTGCTTTGTAGCGCACAACCTCGTTGTGTTCATTTCTTTTTCTGATAAAGACCCACTTATATCCCACAGGTTTTACACCTTTAGGTGTTTGGACTACTGGTCCAAAGACTTCGCGTTTCAAGAGTGAGTCCAGCTCTACTCCTATTGCCTCGTTCCACTTTGGCCAATCGTCTCTGCGTTTACATTCCGCTAGAGACCGTGGTTCGATGTCATCGTCGTATTCAGTGACGTGAACGGCAATATCGAACGCAAAGTCGTCGTCGACGACTGTGCTTTTTCTGTCCAGTACCTCCTCAGTACGTACAAAATTTAATGATGTTTCTCCTATTTGTTCCTCTTCAGGGGAATCTAGGAGGGGAGAGGAAGCTGGTCTGAGCTCAGTATCCTGTGTTGGGTTCATCTTTATTTCTCCAGGATTTTTTCTTTTACGAGGGACTTTGTCCTTCGAACCTGGTGGGCGTCCTCTTTTCAATTGAGGTACAGCCATTTCTGCTGCCGGCGGATTGCATCCATCTTTGGGGATGTCAATCCTAGCTGGCGTGTTGACAGCAGGGACGTGTGATCTGACAATCTTCTGGTTATCAGTGAATTTATCCGGAAGTAAATGTACTGTATTCTGAAGATGAAGAATCTTTAGGATCTCATCTTCACATTGACTAGTACGCGGATCATAATGAAACAAAGTCTTGGTGTTCCAAGAAATGATCTTAGAAGCGTCAGGCTTCCTGGACTGTGTGCCAAGTTTAGGAAATGAATCCTCAACAAATTCACAATCATCAAGACGTGCTTTAAATGCGTCACCCGTCTGGGGTTCAAGGTATCTTATTATAGAGGGCGAATCAAACCCTATATAGATACCCAAACGACGCTGTGGACCCATTTTGGTCCTTTGTGGAGGAGCAATTGGGACGTAAACTGCACAACCAAACACTCTCAAATGTGAGATATTCGGAGGTGCACCATAAGCAAGCTGCATTGGTGACAAAATATGGCCACCAGAGGGCCGTATTCTGATAAGCGATGCGGCATGCAATATGGCATGACCCCAAGCCTCAACAGGCAACTGTGATTGCATCAACAATGGACGAGCAATCCATTGCAATCTCTTAATTAGAGATTCTGCTAACCCGTTCTGGGTGTGAACATGTGCTACAGGATGTTCAACTTCGATGCCAGTTGCTAGGCAATAGTCTTGAAAGACTTGTGAAGTGAATTCTCCCGCATTATCAAGACGTAATTTCTTGATTTGATTATCGGGGAAATGAGCCCGCAACTTAATAATTTGTGCCAATAGCTTTGAAAAAGCTAAGTTGCGGGTGGACAAAAGGCACACGTAAGACCACTTGGTTGATGCATCTATAAGTACCATAAAGTACCTAAATGGTCCACTTGCGGGGTGAATAGGCCCACAAATATCGCCATGTATTCTCTCCAAGAAGCTAGGAGACTCTAATCCCACTTTCAGAAGGGAAGGTCTCGTGATCAGTTTACCTTAGAAACAAAATACTCATCCTCATTTATTTCATTGGTTTCTAAGTTATATCCGTTTAAACGAATATCCTTGAAACTTATGAGGTTTCTATTAGATTTCGGAGAGAATAATGCATCTTTTATTATTAGTCTCGTTTTATTTGGGAGCAATATCATTGCTTCACCAAATCCTTCTATTATATTAGATAGTCCTGAAATCGTAATTACAGGATCGTCATAATCATATAAGCTATTGAAATAGCTTCTTTCGCGAAGGATTGTGTGCGTCGAGGCACTGTCCACAAGGCACTCACACTTCATCTATAACATGAATGCAATATTTTAATCTAAAGAAAATAACTATCTTTATTGAAAAGTAAATTGCATTACATGGAAAGTAAAGAACTAAAGATGAAAGTACTATGAGAATTTAAATGCATATAAAGATAACATGGATCTAGTCGAGAAGATCATCCATTTCGAAGTCATCAGCAGTGAACTGAGTAGACGGCTGCTTTTCCACCAGATTTGTTTCAACAGGAGACTTCTGGCTCGCTAGATACAGATCTTGGAGGTGTCGCGGAGTGCGACAGTTTCTGGACCAATGTCCAGTCATGCCACATCTGTGGCATTTGTCCTCCCAAGTGTTCTTGGGAATGGACGACAGCTCAGTGGTCTTCTTCTTCCACTTCTTCTTTCCCTCACTATTGCTGCTCTGGGGCGGGTTGTTTTTCTGGGGTGGACATCTGGCCTGCCACTTAGGGGCTTTACCCTTGTTGAATTTACCCTTATGCTTTTTCTTCTGCTTCTAGGAAGAAAACATGTGAGCTTCGGGTAGAGGAGCTGAGCCTACAGGGCGTAGGTTATGAGTGGCCAAAAGCAATTCTCTGTTTTGCTCCGCCATCAGAAGGGTGGAGTGCAATTCAGAATACTTTTTGAACTTTCGTTCGCGGTACTGTTGCATGAGGATTGCATCCTTCTCGTGGAAGGATGTGTAAGTCTTCTCCAACATGCGTTCCTCCGAAACTTCTTCACCACACAACTTCAGGCAAGAGGTGATATTATGAAGTGCTGAGTTATACTCAGCTACGGACTTAAAGTCCTGAAGTCGGAGGTTTTCCCACTCATAACGTGCACGTGGGAGGATCACATCTTTCTGATGTTTGTATCGGTCCTCAAGTGCAGTCCACAATTCCTTTGGGTCCTCTACAGTCAGGTATTCGGCCTTCAGGGTCCGATCAATATGTCTCCTGATGTAGATAATGGCTTTCGCCTTATCTATATCAGAGACGATCACTGTAGTAGCAACCTCAGCATTATTTACAGCATTACCCGTAACAGTGGCCGGAGCCGGTGGAGCAGGAGTTGAAATTGTGGCTAATAAGCCCTGGGCACGTAAGTGGAACTTCAGGTCCACATGCCAACTCAAATAATTCTTGCCAGCAGCGTCAAGGACTTCGAAATCAACGCTCGCTATTTTAGCAATTTTATCTATGCATTTGAAAGACATGAATTAATAATAAGGAATTAAAAATTCATGCAATAAACATGTTGCGTGGATCAGCCCGTCACCAAAAAATAAAAAGTGTCCAAATAACAATTGCACAACATCTCAGGCATATAATTAGATATAACCTAAATATTTAATAATTATGTGTGCAAGTGGATAGGTAGATAGGCTCTGAGACGTGTGCATGGGACTATGATGGCGACAGTGCAAAGCCTACATGCTCTGTATATTGGGTTTTTAACAACAAATATATCAGCACCTATAGCTTAATGCATCTCTCATTAATCTACTATGCTATAACTTGAAGAGAGCTATCTCTGCCAAAATATCTGGTTTTAAATGGATATGTTGGTCTCCCACTAGAAAAACTTTTGCTTTGGTCATGTGATACTTATAGTGGAGAAGTAAATTCCAAACGTAACTAGGTACCTATGTATGTACTAGCCTCTCCAACAATTTCAAAATTGATTAGTTTTAGTTAGACTACAGGGAAACCATGTTTTAGATCATAACCTTAAAGTGGCAAACTTTCATATGCTCTTATATAAAAGTAAGATCAATTTTAATTAGGCCATGTAATTATTAGAATCATAAGATTGATCCGTATATTATCTCTCTCTCTGAAAAAACATCATATGCTCTTTAATTCAACATTGCCATATCTTGTTCAAGTTACTGGGAAAGACTGAAAAAACATAAACATGTAACCCGTGCAAAGATTGGCTCTAATATCAGAAATTTGAGCATAATGATTGGAATTTTTTTTTTTTTTTAATTTTCAGCTGCTATATATTATTCTACGGATTATAGTAATTACCTCTAGATCAAAGATCTAGGGACGATCGATACTAAAGATCCGTAGAACGCTGCCTCCTTGCGATGATCCGTCGAACGCTCCCGCTGCAACAAACCAGATCTCAATGCGCAAAAGAGGAAGGAAGTATTTTTTTTATGGCTCAGTGATTCAAGAACACTTCGTGCTGATAACGTGTTTGAAACTCTTACATAGGCCAAAGGCCTATGATGTATATTTATAGATAGTCAATGTGAATAGGTTGAGTACCCAAGAGTCACCCCCACTTAATGGGGTGTTACACCATCATAATGGGGTGTGAATGGAGGGATAATGAGGGGGAGGCCAAAGGCCTCCCTCATCTCATAATATAATTTTCTTTTTTATCCTCTCAGATTTTTATAAAGTCTAAGCATGTAATTATTTCTAATTAATCATTCATTAAATAAATATAACCTCTTATTAATTATGTACCTCCTCACCTTCCTAAATATAAGTATGAATAATATTTTAACTATTACTTGTTTAAATATAATACAATATAATAATTTATAATATAAGTACACACAATCATTAAAGGTAACCAATTAATTATTATAATTATTATTTATGAATTATAATAAAATAATTAAAATAATAGTATAAATAGAATAAATATATTATGAAAGACTATTAATAATTACACTATAATTCAATGAGCACCAAAATAAATAGAATAAAAATTTATGTCATAAATAGCATAATTATTTTAATAATATTATATAAATTAAGAATTATAAATTTATTTATTATTAGATAATTAAATAAGGTAAATAAATAATTTAACATTATTTTTAGAGTAATTTCTCAAAGATTATTACACGATAATCAATAATCTATACTTGGTAATAATTGAAAAATAACTTCTTTATAAAAAAGTATTTAATATTAATAATAGTACTATTAGTTGTTAATGATAGTATAATAAAAATTTATAAGATATCTATAGTACTAATTTATTTAAGAGCATAATTTAAAAAATTAAATTAGATAAATATTTTATAGTATGTGGATAGTATAATAATTTTAATAATATTACTTAAACTAAGAATTATAATATTACATAAGATAAATTATAGTAAACCCTCATAAACTTTTAGCATTTTATAGTAAATAGACCCTATGAACTTTCAAAATCACGCAAAACTCCTATTATCTTTTGTAGAAAGTCCCCAATATCTTTTAGATAAATTACACCAAACCCCCAATATCTTTTAAAATGCCTTTTTGTGCCATTTTCTGGTTCTAATTTATAGGGGTTATATGCAAAATTCAAAAAGTTATTGGGGCTTTCTTTGAAATAGAAGAGTCATTAGGAGTTTAGTGTGATTTTGAAAATTGGGCTAAAAAGTTCATAAGGGTTAAGTATAATTTACCATATTAAATAATTATAATGAGAACAACTATTGCGATATGTTGCATGTATTAAATATAATTATCTAGGGAACATCAGGAAAAAACTAGCAAGATTACTACAGCCTACTTAATTTAAAGTTACGTTAACAAATTTCAAGTTGGAGGAACATATTTATATATACTACTATAAAAATAGGATTAGGGTGTTAAAACTTTTAATTTCCTTTTTTACCCTCTCAAATTTTCATAAAGTCTAACTATGTCATTGTTTCTAATTAATATTTCATTAAATAAATATAACCTTTTATTATTTATGTACCTCCTCACCTTCCTAAATACTTATAAGTATCAATAATATTTTAACTATTAATTATCTAAAAATAATATAATAATATAAATTATAACATAAGTACACACAATCATTAGTAGTAACCAATTAAACTATTATAATAATTGTTTATGAATTATAATAAAATAATAGTATAAATAGAATAAGATATTACTACAGACTATTAAGAATTACACTATAATTCAATGAGCAATAAATTAAATATAATAAAAATTTATGCCATTAATAGCATAATTACATAAATTATTAATTGCATATTTATTTAGTATTATACAATTAAATAAAATAAATAATTAATTAACATTATTTTTAGAGTATTTTCTCAAAGATTATTACATGATACTCAATAATCTATACTTGGTAATAATTGAAAACTAACTTTTTTATTAAAAAAGTATTTAATATTAGTAATAATTCTATTAGTTGTTAATGATAGTATAATAAAAATTTATAAGACATTTATAGTACTAAACTATTTAAGAGCATAATTAAAAAATTAAGTTAGATAAATACTTTATAGTATGTAGATAGTAAATCTTAATAGTATTACTTAAACTAAGAATTATAATATTAAATAAGATAAATTACAATACACCCTCATGAACTTTTAGCATTTTGTAGTAAATAGACCCTATTAACTTTTGAAATCACACAAAACCCCTATTAACTTTTGTAGAAAGTCCACAATATCTTTTAAAATGTTATGTAGGATCTGATTTTGCTTATGTATACCAAGTGTAGGATCGTGACCCTTAAGAATAGAGTGCGCTCTTATAAAAATCTGCGGAAGCTTTACACTTAAACACTAGAGGGTGAGTTTGCAAAGTAGATTATAAATTGCAAAGAAAGAATGGCAATCTCAGAAAATGAACATCACAAACATAAGCATGTATACTGGTTCCACCTCCCCGGTGTACATCCAGTCCCCAAGCAAATCCCGCTTGAGATTTCTACTATGATTTTGAAATCTTACAAAATCAAAAGCAAACTTGACCAATTTGCAAGACCATGCAAATTGCAACACCAATTGACAAGACCATGCCAATTGCCACCCAATCTCTAAACCAAGAGATCAACCCTCTCAAACCCGAGAGAAATCCTTTTTGAAGCAAGAACACAATTGATCCTATAAGCCTTGAATGTGTAGTGAAGTGCTGCAGTGGCTTAGGATTCTTTTAACTCTCTGAATATTGCCTATACAATCTCTAAGAATGATTGAAACCAAGGCAATATCAGAAACTCTCTTTTTCTAAACACTTAGCATGAAAATTTGGAAAATTAGAGAGTGAATATGCACAAAATGTTTGATCTTGTAAGTGCAAAACTTGGTTGTTGTTTTCTGATGTTTAAACCTATTTATAGCCTCTGAAATGACATAATTTTAAACCCAATTAACGTCCACAAAACGGCTATAAACAGTCACTTATTTAAAACCTAAAATCTGGAAAAACTGTATCTGTAGTCGACTACACTGAGTCTAAACAGACTCTGTGAAGTTAGAAAATTGCTTAGTAGTCGACTACAAGGCATAGTAGTCGACTACACTGTAAACTCAGATTCTGGAATTTTTCTTTTCGGTATTTTGACTGTAACTTTCTAATCCGATATCGGAATGAGGTGATTTAAGATTTGTTGGAAAACTCTTGAAGAGACCTACAACTTTGTCTTTTGAGTTTTTCCATATTCTAATTGCTAAGGGGTAAAAATAAAATATTTTAAGACTCACTCAATATCTATAAACTCTAATGGCTAACATAGGAGATTTCTATTGTTAACCAACACACTAAGCATGTGTTAGTATGTTCTAACACTATGTGTGTGCATGTGTATGAGTGATCAAGGCTTGTACAAATTTCTAAGCAAAGAAAATATAAAATTACATTTTGACAATAAAGTATACCTTCTTCTTTGCTTCATTTTGCCTTGAACTCATCTATGTCTTGAGTATCTCTTTGAATATAATTATTGATATAGCTCTGATACTGCAAAACAAATGTTAGTACATAATACACATAACATATAATATTTGTTATCATCAAAACAAACTAATCTTGGGGTCAAGATGTTGTTTGTGCCATTTTCTGGTTCTAATTTACGGGGGTTATGTACAAAATTCAAATAGTTATTATGGCTTTCTTTAAAAAAAAGTCATTAAAAGTTTAGTGTGATTGGAAATTCATAGGGGCTAAAAAGATCATAAGGGTTAAGTGGAATTTACCCTATTAAAATAATTATAGTGCGAGTAACTATTGCAATATGTTACATATATTAAATGTAATTATCTAAGGAACATCACGAAAAAGCTAGCATGATTTCTGCAGATTATTTAATTTAGAGTTAAGTTAACAAAAATCAAGTTGGAGGGACATATTTAAGAGAACTTATAGAATTGATGCTTATATTTAAGAACAATTATAGATTTTGGGGGACTTATTTAAAAAAAA